ATATATATATATATAACATTTTTGTTATAGTTATTAATAAATTATAAATGGTTTACTCAGTTCGCTGATAATATTGTCAAATTTCATAGAATATTTTGATGTAATATTTATTTTATTACAATGTATAAAATAAAATAAATTATTTTAGTGCATTTTATATATATATATATATTGCTGTACCTATAGGCTATAATGACTTTCAAAATTATTGTGGGCCCTAATTTATAGTATGCACCCCCGGAACCAAAAGTCTGCGCACGCCTATGATTAGGTATACCTGTTTTGGTGCAGTACAAAATCATAACAGTATAATAYAGTACCTATGCCGATCTATTAATTTTTATATTGTTAATATTGTTCACAAGTAACATGCAGTTTATTCTAATAAATAAATAATTAGTTATAACAACTATTTTAATCTATAGAGTATAGTTATGGATAATGTTTTAAAAACATACTGCATACGAGAGTGTGCAGAATAAAAAATAMATTTTAAATGTTTAAATTGTTTCAGTTACTCCAGGACACCAGATAACTTTGTTCGACTAGGATGATATTGAAAAAGCGTTTCGACAACTATTATATGAATATTAATGGGAGTTACCTTTTATTTCGACTCGTCCCTGTCGGATAAATACATATTACATGCACAACTCAAAAGTTGTAATAATGTGTAATACTGTAATGTGACTATTATATTATATTTTATTTTATCCTTGTTGTAATTAATCTTTAAACATTATACGTGCCAATATAAAATATTTTGTTAGAAATTAAATTCTCTCTAGTTTATGATTTCTTTTAAAAATAACTAATTCGTAATRTCATTGAAAGTTAACATAATATACAAATATGAAACATTAGTATTGTTTGTTGTTATATTTATGTAATATTAAWTTTTTTTTTATGTGTCATTAATATTGAATAAGTATTATTATTATAATCTAAGTTGATTTACACAAATGTATAATATATATACAATTTGATGTACTTACAATAAAATGGTTGGTACTTATAACACATTTTATTTCATGAGTTATTTTAATAAAGTTYTTACAAATATTAAGATAAAGCAAAAGTTCAATGCAAAGTATATTATACAATCAACATTAATCAAAATTATCAGTTTTTAAATTTTGGGCACTTTTTTATCATGTTATCGACGACGCTGCCGGAACTACTTGCGCATTGTGTAGACACCGYGACTGGCTGAAATAAAATATAGTAAGCACAGTGTGAAAAAAATCCCACCTTAAGGCATTTAACATTCTAAAAAGAATAACTGAAAAGTTATTGTGAATCGTTAACATATCCTATCCATTTTAGAATAACAGACAGCAAGTTACTTATAATTATTGGTATACCGAAAAAATAATAAAATATATAATTCTGCTCAACAAAATGTTACGTTTAAGAAGCATAATATATTATATAATATCATATATACTGTTTAGTGTTTACATAGGTACTAATTAAACGTTCAATGATGGAATATCTGGACCAGAATCTTAAAACTTCGTCTATGATCGTTGCCACCATACACAATATATGGCTATATTCTCAGTGGTTGGTGGTGCATATGGAAATTTGGTAAATGTTAATAAAAAATCTGACCCCTCATGGTGTTAACACGAACCTACGAAAAGTTGGTTTGCAGCTGAAACTATTWGTAACAGTGACATCGGCAATTAATGCTTTGCTTAATTCAGGAAATTGTATTGCGCCTTTTAAAAATATCTAAGGCAGCAAATATGTTTTCTTTTATGTATGTGTAGCAGCGTGCATATGGCCCCTAATTTTGTGAGTAAATTTCAATTAAACTGATTTCATCTCGAATACCTGCTATATCTCAGATTCAGTTTGGTTAAAGTAAAGGTTTGGAAAAATAAAATATTTTCTTTTCTATGGAGTGGCAGAGTTATTAGATAGGRGAAGGGGATCATTAATTGTTTCATTCGTCGTTTATAGCTTATTATTTTTATTCACATTTTTTAGGACTTAATTTTTTTTTTTAACAATATTAAGGCAAGGTATGTACAATTTTAGAAGGATAAATTTCGGCTGGAATTCGTATATGTTATTCGATTCCAAAGATGACCATCAATCCATCATAGATGTTTATAATGATTATAACGTGATTAAAATCATTTTAGATTMGAAATAGGTGGTAGAGAAGCCAACAGTTTTCTCTAAAATATGTGGTTTCACGTTGATTGATAAAACTGAATCTATAACTTATTAAAAAAATTGAACACTGCACTAGGTCTGAGGCAAAATATATTAATAAGATAAACGACACTTAAAATAAGCATAGTGCATAGATAACAATAGCATGTGTGCACTTCAGCACTTGTCGGTTATTATCACATGAAATTGGTCATAAAAATATTCCAAAAATATATCTTCTAAGTTTCAAAGCATATAAGGCTATAATATGTTCAGCGAAAAATAACACAGTGGCACGAAAAAAATCAGTTATTCTGCATTTCAGCATATCTCCACATGGCACTTTTCCGTGGTGGAATCGAACTCGATAACATGGTGTGGCAAAATCAGTGTATTTTCTCGCTGTTCATAGAAAAATGTATGTACCTACCTATACGTAATTTGAACTTAAAACGCTCATAGAAATTTAATTTAAATTTCCAGTAGACATTTTTTATTTTGATAAAAGTAGATAAACCTATGAAGAATCAATGTATTGAATTTTCAAATATAAGATTTAAAGTTATTAATTTTATAAATTTCTAACTCAAAATAATTTGGATATTCTCRTGATTTTTACGTATTTTTTTCGAAATTCGAACTTTTAAATTCTTTAAAACAAAAATTGTGATTTTGTATTTTTAACATTTTTTAAGTATTGTAACATAATACTAGATGCCTTGTATTCAATTTTAAGCTTTTTTACACGACGAATTAAATTTTATTGACATTTATAGAAAAAAAGCTAAAAAATTAAGAACTGAAGTTTGAAAGTGTCTTTAAACAGCTTAAAACAAATCAAAATGTTATTTCAAAAATTTTACGGTTTATAGTTAATGCTATACAACATTACACACATTCAGCTATAAACATTCAGTGAAAATGTAATGTATTTATATTCTATAGTACATAATTTATTTTAGAGTTACACCAAGTTACAACCAGTTTAGCGTATAAGTTCCCATTTTTCCTTAATTTTTTTGTTATTACTAGCGCTTTTGAAAACTGAGAATTTTCTATTTTGACTACCCTAAACACAAAATAGATTCACTTTCCTATCGGAAAAACTTCTGAAGTTGAAAATCGATATATTATATTTCAACCAATTATCGTGTTTACCGATAAATAAATAAATAAATAAATAAACATACCTCATATTAAAATCAATACATTCATCGTTAAACATTTTTTTTTTTTTAAATATATTCACTTAAATATAAAACCGATTACGTATGTGTATTTATTTTAGTTATTTTTCAGTTGTTCAAAATGAAATGCATAATTAATGATAACTTATAATGTCTTAAACGAAAAAATACAAATTCACTAACAAATAAGTATAGTATGTTTTATAACACATTATAGATATACATGGTGATTCATTAGGCATGCTCACTCCTCTTTTTCTTTTTGAAAAACAGAAGTTTGTATCACCAAAAGACACTCCTTAAGTAGTACTAAATATCTCAAGAACTCAAAAAATATGATCTTTGAGTATATTTAAATATTCCAAAAATTAAATTTTGAATAACTTCATTACCTACAAAAGAAAAGAGAGGTGAGCATGCATTAGTGAATCACTCTGTATATGGATTACTTTATATTTAGAATTTAGATACACCATCGCTTTCGCCAATAATATAGGTTTCCCTGTCATCTCAAAAGTATGGATTGTTTATTTAATTAATTATGATATAAGTGAGTTAGCATAAGGTTAAATTATTTTACATTTATGCCATATAAAATAAATATATAAAAACCTACAGTRCCTTCCCTTACAGTTCCCCAGGCTAATGACCTCATTTGTCGAAGCCTTAACCCTAATAATAATAAAAAAATAGATAAATATAA